TGCTGTGAGCTGTAATGCCACGGCACTCTACCCAGGGGGACAGCTTGAGGCTCTGTCTCAAAAAAAAAAAAAAAAAAAAAAAAGAGCAGCTTATGGGCTGCTGGTCCCAGCTTCCATCCTCTGTTGACTCCAGGGTGAATGTAAGCATCACGTGACAGACTTCCAGCATCTGCCTGGGGCTAATCTATGCCTTTGGTTCTAGGGTCCAGACAGTGCAGATCAGCAGGTGAAGGGGAAGTTTCCTCTGTTGGGAGGAACTTAAATTACCAACTTAGGTTTGAAGAAACAAATTTTACCCATATGCATATGGGCACTCAGCAATGAGTAACTCCCCCAAACATACCAGCTTTATGGTGGGGGGAGTAGGTTAGGGCTTTAAAAGATGGAAAGTTCTTATGAGGCTTATATATGCAATTTTTAAAAAATATGCCAGGGTACAAGTGCCAAGACTCCCTGATTGGAGACCTCCCCACAAGGAGAGAGAGTTCGTGGCAGCTACTTTATTCAACTGGAGGGAAGTTCAGATAAGATTTCTTGGCTCGGGGCTGCTTGGCTTAGTGAGTAGGGCACTGGCCACATACACAACAGGTGGCAAGTTTCAGCCCAGCCTGGGCCTGCTAAACGACAATGACAACTGCAACAAAAAATAGACGGGCGTTGTGGTGGGCACCTGTAGTCCCAGCTACTTGGGAGGCTAAGGCAAGAGAATCTCTTTTTTTTTTTTTTTTTTTTTGAGACAGAGCCTCAAGCTGTCTCCTGGGTAGAGTGCTGTGGCATCACAGCTCACAGCAACCTCCAAATCCTGGGCTCAAGTGAGTCTCCTGCCTCAGCCTTCCAAGTAGCTGGGACCAGAGGTGCCCGCTACAACACCCGACTATTTTTTGGTTGCAGCTGTCATTGTTGTTTGGCAAACCTGGGCTTGATTTGAACCCGCCACCTTAGGTGTACGTGGCTGGTGCCTTAGCCACTTGAGCCACAGGCCAAGTGAATCTCTTAAGCTGAGCCAAGAGAATCTCTTAAGCCCAAGAATTGGAGATTGCTGTGAGCTGTGACATCACCGCACTCTACTGAGGGTGACATAGTGAGACTATCTCAAAAAAAAAAAAAAAAAAAC